TTACATTGCATCTACAGTGTTATTATTCTCAAAACATCCATTTTGTTTCACAACAGGTAAAAAAAAATACATAAAAAAATAAAAATGAGTGAATTGGACCATGGAATGTTCTTTACAACTCATAGGATTAGCGATGTAGGTATGTATGCTCTCATGTTCAAATTTAATTGTTTTATTACAACCTAGAATGAAGCTACTTATGAAATACTCTGTGCAATGAATAGCTGCATATGGAAGCTGCTATAGCAGCATATCAAATCACAAAATGCTTTGGGTGGGAAGGGACCTCTCAAGGTCATCTCGTTCAACCCTCTGCAGGGACAGGGACATCTGCAGCTAGAGCAGGGTGCTCAGAGCTTCATCCAACCTCCCCTGGGATGGTGCCAGGGATGGGGCAGCGACCACCTCTCTGGGCAGCCTGGGACAGGGGCTCACCACCCTCACCCTCAGCATCAAAATTTTCTCCCTTCTCTCTAGGCTACATCTCCCTCTTTGAGTTTAAAACCATCACCCCTTGTCATGTTGCATCAGGCCCTGCTCAAAAGTGTACCCCCCATCTTTCAGACAGGCCCCTTGAAGCCCTGGCAGCCCCCAGGGGGTCTCCCCAGCTGGAGCCTTCTCCTCTCAGCTGCCCCAGCCCAACTCTCTCCTGCTGGGCTCCCAGCAGAGGGGTTCCCCCCTCGGGGCATTGCTGGGGCTCCTCTGGCCCCGCTCCAGCAGCTCCCTGGCTCTGCTGTGCTGAGGACTCCAGAGCTGCCCCAGCACTGCAGGGGGGCCTCCCAGAGCTGGCAGAGGGGCAGGATCCCCTCCCTGCCCTGCTGCCCACCCTGCTGGGGGGCAGCCCAGGCTGCTGGGGGCTTCTCTGAGCACACACTGCTGGCTTGTGCCCTGTTTTTTTGTTCACCAGCACCCCCAGGTCCTTCTCTTCAGGCCTGTTCTCCATCCCCGCAGTGCCCAGCCTGGACTTGTACTGGGGACTGCCTGGGTGAGTGACTTGAAATTATCTTCCCATAGTGAGGCACCACCTGGAGTCATGTTGCCAGACTTTCTGTAGGCTTGTGGCACATGAAAATCCTTAGGGGAGACCCGAGGGAGGATCACAGGATAGCTTTGCAGGATTTACCCTAAGATGCTATGTGGGACCCCTCTGCAGAACTGCCTGTCAGGGTATTGCTTCCAGCCACTGCTTTTAATAGTGAATGAAAAAAATCCTTCCACTAACACCTGATGGCCAGTTTCAATACTGAAGGAACCCGTAAATGAGGTTGGAAAGAAAAGGCCCATTCCTTATCCCTGTAAGCCTCCTGGCTCATGTAAAGTTCCTGGGGATCAGCAAGCTAAAGCTTTACAGTACTGGGACAAAGGTTCAGGTATTTTCAGTTACTGTTATAATTGTATCTCAGGCTTTGGCAAGTATTTATTATAGAAATATGTGAAAAGGGATTTAAAATCTAAAGGTCTAATATTTTTTTATTTTTATTTGTGTATGTATATATACATACATATTTGTGGGTGTATACATACATATAAAAATACATAAAACTTTCCTTGTAAAATATAAGATGCATCTAACATGTTACCTATTAAATACAAAGTTTGCATCTGATATGCCAAGACCCTGATTTTAGAGTTAATCTCATATGGATAGACCCTACTGACTTCAGAAAATTCCACATAGTGAAGTCTTCAGTAGAAGAAGAAACCAATAAAGATTAATAGCAGAGTTTCATAAGGTTCAGATATACAGGGTAAAGGAAGAAGCCTGCTGAAAGTAAAGATAAAATGAGATTGTTCTGGGTTGAAGGACTGGAAGTTGAGCGTGTCTTTGACTCCTCGTTCTCTTAGCTGTGAGGGACGTTACTAACTTGGTGAAGGAGAGTTACCTGAGGAAGTACCTCAGATCCCTACTTCCTCTTACATTGCTTCTATATCTAGCTATGTATCTTTATGTGGTTTATGTAACACTTGAAGAGCATAGAAAATATCAGATTATGTTGCTGAATTAAATCTGGGATTTCTGGAGACAACTCTGAGGCTTCCAAGCATTGCAGCAAGCTTTTCTTGTTTAGAAACTCAACATGGTAACAACTTGTTTCTCAGCTGGGAACCACTGAGTTTAGCCTTTAAGTGAATGGATTCTTTCTGCTTATTCATTGTTCTCTGACACGTACGTCTTCCTGTGGCTAGAACAGATTAAGGCAACCCAACCAAAATAAAACAGTGCCTCTTCCTGGTTTTTGGTTTATTTTTTATAGTGTTCCTTGTTCTCTCCATCTGTTCATTCAGTAGGGTGGTTCATTCTCCTTCCCAGTTGTTTTGTGCACTGTATTCAGTATTGCTTCCTGTGTGTCAGTACACACTTTTCCATTTTTCATCCTGTTTTTTCCACACTTTTTGTTGTCAACCCTCCTCTCATTTTTTGTTGTTACAAAGAGAAGATGCAAAAAAATTACATGGATTTGTTTTTTGATCAGGTCTCTTATCCCTATGACACTGTATTGAGGAATAAAGCTGGCTTAGAGGAAGTGGGGTTTCACAAGCCCGTTCTGAGTGAGAGCTGTCACACAGGGACAGCAAACTCTAATTTCATTGAGTAGTTTAATGAGATAGCAGAGCTGACATAGACCAAAGAAACTTGTCAGGGTATCACAATTTTGAGTCCATTGCCCAGATAGTGTTCCTACCCCTGGATACCTCTACCACAATTCAGAGAAAGCCATGTGAGAGCCATGCTAGTGAGATGGCATGAGATAGGCACCAAAGGGAGAGGTTTAGGTCTTTAAAATCTCTAGATCTTTAGGAAGATGACAGCATCCTACCTTTATTCTGACACTATCCTGCATCACAGTATACTATCCTGGAATTAGCTGAGGGTCTGTGATGCTGGAACATGAGACAATGCTGCTTTCCAAAGAACACAAGATTCACAAGCTCCATACCAAGGAGATGTACTTAATGACTTCTAGCAGTTGTTAATGTCATTTAGTAGTGCTGTGAGAGTTACTGGTTCTTTAGTGGTGAATATGACTGGCTGCATCTTCTACCTTATCTCCCAGGTGCTCCCAGGCATTTGCCTGCAGGGAGCCTGAATTAGGAGGGTTATGGAATTGCTCTGAAGCTCCCGCCGTGCCCCGCTGCTCACGTGTGGATGCTGTTCATGCTGCCTGCTGTGAAGACTGGCAGACTTGAAGTGATTATAAGCCTCTGGGAGCAGTAATGAAGGAGTAATAGGCTTAGGAGTGAGAACCGAATGAGTGGGTTTGGTGACAGAACTTTTCCTACTTTGAATGTGGGCTGATGTTCTGTGATCTCTGCTGGAGCACGTTGTAAGCAGTCTCGGAGAGAAGGCAAAAAATTCTTCACATAAAATCATGCTGACTTAGGGATAAGAACTTTAAATTTGGATTGATGGGAATAAAAGCTCACAGATGAACAAAGCTAAAGGCCTAAAAGCTGGGAGAAAGCAGATTATTCATATTAATCTCATATGAGGGATAAAGTGGAAGAAGTTAGTGGATTGTGCTACCAAATGTTTCATGTGTAAGATATATAGAGAATAAAAGAGTACTCATAATATGAGATCAAAGCTATAATCTGATTAGCATAACACTGAGTTGGTGGAATAATTCTCATGTTGAGAAGATTAGTGGTGAAGAAAGCAGGACTGAGAAGCAGGAGGAGAGGAGGAAGCCTTCCTCTGGGTGGGTGGTGTATCCCCTCAAGTGCAGAGTGTGGAAACTGCCAAGGGATTGCCTGTGGAAACTGTAGGTGATGATTAGAGGCAGGTAGGACGCTGTTCTGTTTTGATGGGAGTCTGGTGCAGGCCAATAAACCAGGAAAACCTGTTGATTAATATTAGGCAGCTATGTATCTGAGGGTATCTTGAGTGCATGTCTCGCTTCTACTGATGTCAAATCCTGTTCAGGCAGGATCTGCAGCCCTGGTTTTCTGGTTTAGTTTGGCTCACCCAGTTTTAACTGTATACATAATATATTTTTGATTAAAGTGACCATGAAATGGTGGAAGTTATCATTTTTAGGAAGCTGGTGAGGGGGGAGAGAAATAGAATTGGTGGATTTTAAGGAATGTGAATGTAAGGTCAAAGGAGGACTCCATGGTAAACTTGAGGTAACTGTTGTTTGGGGAATGTGGTAGTCCCTCCATGGAACTTCTTAAAGGGATCATTGAAAGCTATTTTCACTGTGTGGTGAAAGACCAGCTTGGGTACATCTTTACTGACTTCAACTGCTTTTCCAGCAAAGCTGCTTCCTCTGGGGTTTTCTCGCCCGCAGCCTTTCAGTACTGTCACAGTTTTTCAAATGCTGATAATAGGACTGCAGGAAGTGGGCCTTATAATCCATGCTGGATGCACCAGGGACTAAGTCTGATGTTTTCCTTGCATTTTAGTGTGTTTCTGTTTAAGGAAGTATGTTGTTTTCCCATGGTCCTACGGAAATTTAATGGAGACATTTTATGCTGTTCTTATGGCTGGAGAGTCAATGGGAAATGTAACTGCAGCTCATTCTTTTACATATAATTAGTAGTTTATATACCTTTTAGAAAAAATTACTCCTATTGCTCAATCTACAGATTACAGTGAATATTGTAGTTGTTTTCCAATTGTGATTTAAGAATATATGTATTGAAACTTAAGTATTTCTGTATTAAAACATACTAAAGTTCCAGTAAACCAAGTTTAAATTGAGTTATTCTTTAAGTTCATATATAAAAAAAAAAATCTTACATAAACTGTAAACTAAAAACTGGTTAAAGTTTCTTATTTAATTTCTACTAGCTTGTTTCAGATTCTTAATGCTTGTTGCAGATTCTTATTCACCAGCTGTCTTTGTTATGTAAACTTCTAATGTTTGAAATATATCGTTTCCAATTGATACCTGTAATGCTTTTGGCTTATGATTTATGCTTAAAATATTTAAAATATTCTCCAGAATTCAAAATGACTGTTTTTTATGTGATAACTAGAAAAGCTGGCAATTCCAATGAGAAATGGTCTCTGCAGTCACAAGTATAAACCTGTCGACTACAAACATCTACATGAACTTGCTGCAGCAGAAAAAGTGACATCTGCAAAAATTCAACTAAAGGTATGATTTTTATATTATTTGTAATGTGAACAATTTTAAAATTCACTGGTCATTTTTCCTTGTCCTGTCCCAAGGAATCTGAGCACAAATAGGAATAACAAATTGCTGTAACAGTGTTCAGCAAAAGGTGGCAAAAGGTGAGAGTTTATCATGGTGCTACTGTGCTTTGGACATGGTAATGTCAGTGTGGAGTTTCTTTGAATCAGAGATGCAAAATGTGTGGGTTCTGCTTCCCAAAAGAGACTGGAAAAGTTTGTATTGGAGTATGAAATTCATCTGGACTTATTACATAACCTATAAAAATGTAAATGTAGGGCTGGACAGAAACATATGGGTAGCTGCAGAGTGGCCCAGGTGGTAAATAGAAGGTAGTCTATTTAATACTAGTAAAGTTTAATGAAAACTTTACCTCTGCTTTTATGAAGAATGATGATTTATAATGTGTAGACAAAGCAGAACTGAACAAGTGGCAAAATCAGAGCTGTCCAACTGGGAAGAAGACCAAGTACCAAATTTTACTTTGTCGTGTCAGCTCTCGGGTGCCTTGTTTACCTGCAGCACCGCTGGCATTCGCTGTGGGTTCAGCCTGCTTCCTTAGCTCAGGTCCAGTGCTGCATGAACACAGCTCTTCTGCCTCCAGGGGTCCTGTTCATGAGTTTAGGTCTTTTCCAAACATCCTATCATCGTGTTGTGTGTAGGATAATAGAAACTGAGGATGTTGCACATCTTGTTTTTGGTGGGACAGACAAGACGTGGATAGTCTTTTACACTGCATTGTGCATAAGTGCCTGTATATTGTAACCATTTGGGGCAGGGTTGGAGAGGGAAGGGGTTTAGGAATAAATAGGTTTCAGTTTTAGCTGTGGATGTGCAGGAACATTCTTCGTATTTGTAATTTTAAGAACCTCCCATTTAAGAAACTGTGCTTTCTTTGAAGGAGAGTATATGTCAAACTGCCAGAAACAGTGATGTCCAAGAAGCCTCCAGCCTCTCCAGAGCTTCTGGTGCTGGTTCTGTGTGTTTTCAGTTATGTGGAAATAGTGTAAAATGTTGATCCAGAAACACTGTGGAGTGATAACTCCTTGTGAGAGTGGACCTGCTTTTAGCATATGAATGTTCTACTGATGAGTGTTGCATGGGATTGTTTTTTTAAAAAGTCAGTGCACAGAAAGCAGTGATTTCTGGAGAAAGTGGCACTGATCACATGAGGCTGAAACAGTTTCTTTAGGAGGAGAAATAAAATAGAGAAAAAAACATTGCTGGTTTGATACAACCCCCTCCAGCAGTAGTGTTGTTTTAATGCTTGTCCTGAAACCTTCACATCCCACACAAGGAGAACACAGTTTGATCTGCTTAACCTGCACTAACGCAGCAATTCCTTGTGTCTGCAGCCCGTGGCTGTTGCTCTCAACAGCTGCAACTTTGTGGATGTTCTGGAATGAAAGACTGTGCTGAATAGAATCTATGCAAAACACATGGCCTGAAGTTTTCTTGTGTAGATGACTAAGGGTGATGTAGAGGATCAGGTGATGTCTTTGGCATGTATAAAATATAATTCAGAGTCTTCATTCAGATGGGATGGCAGAGTTCAAAGGGAGGTTTGCTGAAGAAATACAGGATTATGATAAAGTTCTAAAAAAAAATTCCTTTAAATTCTTTTCTAAAATGTATCTAGAAGTTCTTTGAACAGAAGTTATTAAATGAAATATATTGGTTAGCAACATAAGCTTTTTTTCTTCTGGTGCTGCTTAAGTCTTAGTAAACAGAACATATGCAGTACCAGCAAGCATCGTTTCCTGGCTCACACTACTGTCCTGAAGGCCTCCCAAAAAAAAGGGGGTTGCTTATGCAGCTACTCTCTTTGTATTTAAAACAGAAGAGGGTGACAATGAATGAAGGAAAAAAATACATAGTTTCTTTATAGTATTGCTTCCTTTAACACACGGAATGATAATATATCAAAAGCTCTGGCAGCTATTCATGGGTTGGTGATACAAAATTCTGCTGAATTCATTCAAGCTTTAAACTAGTTTTTCATCATCTGTCTTTTGGTATTTCACCTTTTCAAGTGTTTTCCAACTGTGTAGGTATAAATATATATGCTGCAAGCTCTACAGAATAGAGTGTGTTCCCACCTACTACTTTGCTGTGGCTGATTCAGCCTATCCAAATTAAGTGCTGGGTTACTCCTCCATTGAGGCAGAACTAAAGAAGCAAATGGCAAATCAGTTTTTAGCCATCTCAGAAAGAAGAATACAGCACATACAGAATAAACCTAATATTGCAGCAGCTATACATAAATGTCATTACTTTCACTATAAAATAATTTCAAGAGGATATTAAACTTTATGTACAGATATACTTCAACTTTTGTTTCACTTCAGTTTTAGATTGAAGATGTATGTACTTTCAAATTACTTTGAATTCAGTATTCTCTTTGCTGAAGTCTGGTTTTAAGCATCTAATGGTAATGAAGAGTAGGATATAATTTTACAAACATCAAGATATGTAAGCAATAAAAATCAGATGTTTTCTTTGACTCACAAGCATTGTAACATGCTGATTGAAAACAGAAACCAGGTGTTTTTAAACCCTCGGTACAGTCACATCTGCAGCTTCCTGTAAACCTCTTGTTTCTCAATCCCAGCAACATCTCTCTACAGCACCTACTGCAGCTTCTTAACCAAGTAATAGCTAAAGCAAAAGTGCAGTGGATTAACCACCTTCTCCTTGTGCTGCTTCCTTATGTGACTGTCTAGAAACCAGGTGTATTCAACCAGATAGATTAAACTCAGGTTTGTTTGAGAGTGGTAAATGTGTCAAGTGTCAAAATCTTAAGTATTCTGATTTCAAGTAAGTTTTTAGCTTTGGTGGGTGCGTGGGAGGCTGTGATTGGCAGCCATGGGGTGCTTGCTTGCCTGGGGGTGAGTGTGCCAGAGAAGCCCTGCAGCTCTCCTGTGGAGCAGCCTGCTGGTGTCAGATGGAGGCATGGCAGGAGTGCTCCCCCTCTGCTCCTGCCCCTGCCTGCCGAGCGGGCCCTGTGGGCGCAGCCAGCTCTCCCCACACAGCAGAGCTGGCCAAGCCTTCACACAGCAGGCTGCTTCCACCTCAGCCAAGAGCACAACCAGCATTTTCGACTCAGGTGTTTTGCCAATGACCAGGCCCAACAAAAATGACAGCACCAGCAGGGAGATGATCCAATACACTTACTGTATTGTTTACAACAACGTTATGACGTGAATGACCGCCGGGGGTACAAACAGGTCAATCAGCTCATACATGATCGATGCCACCCCAGTGATCCCACAAAAGATGTGACTCAGCTCACAACAGGTGGTACAAACAGAGACCCGAGGTTGCCCACAGTTGGCATGGGAAACAGCCAGAGCAGCCAGTTAAACACATCAGAGAAAGGTGCCCACATGGCGACTCTCACCCGATCCGCCCGTGTTCGCCAAGGTCTAAACAGACCAGGGCCCAGCTCCAGGAGAGTCAGGAGGGCTGCCCTGAACCAGGCAACTCTGGGGGGAGCACTCCACAGACAGACACTCCTGACTCCCTGCCAGTGGTCCCAGCTTTTATCCCCCAGCAGAGCCCTGACCTTTGTCAGCTCCCTGCGGGACCCCTGGGGCTCATTTCCCTTCTGGATCTTCCTGCAGGGCCGGCCGCACCCTGGGGGGAAGCTCTAAGGCAAACTCACCCCTCTGGATGAAGGGCTGTGGGGATCACCCATATGTCAGCCTTAATTCAGGGCTCGGGGTTCAAACCCTCGAGCATTTCAGAAGGTCATTTCTTTCCTGAACTACATGTGGAATGAGGTCTTTATTGATTGTTCCTTGTTACAAGCTAGGACAAGAGTTTCCAAGGTTTTGGTTTTGTTCTTGTTTTTCTTTCTTGTCTTACTACTGTTGTGCAGTAGAATAATGTATTTGCATGAAGGAAGGTATGGGGAGGGAAAAGAGAGGTGTGTGTGAAATTTGGGAGCCTCTGGAATCAGGAGGGGTTTTGCAACTAGGAGAAGTTGGTTGGTGCAGGGCTGAAGTCAGGTGTTAATGGAGGATGGTGGTGGCAAGGCAGGGAAGGATCCAGTTCTGAGCTGAAATGCTTCTTCCTCCTGAGTATCCACGGAGAGGCTGGAGGGCAGTCGTGATGGCAGGAGGATGAGAGGAAACCAGTTTGTCTCAGGGACTTCTGGCAGGCACAGACGACTTCTCATCCTTTTTTCCTTTGTTGTTGGTAGCTAGAGTCCTCTGGCTGCCACTTCCATCAGCATTTCCCTGATGGCTTTTCCTCTAGTTCAAGCAGTAAGTTCGTGTATCTCAAAAACATGTGTTTCTGTTTTATCTGAACTTGGAAGTAGTGTTTTTGTGATGCTCTCAGACAGTTTCAGAGCCTCTTTAATTGCATAGGTCTTGAAAAACCACTCTTTTTAGTAATAACTTTTTGAAATGCGTTTTCTTGAGAGATGTGCTTTCTCACTTTTATCTTCCCACCTATAGGAAAGTGTATTTTTCTTTCACCTGCTCATCTTCCCCCCCTTCACTTCCTGGGAAATAGACATGAGAAAGAAAAGGAGAAAAAAGGAAATAAAAAAAGTGGATTGCATTTTTTTTCCACTTTCTCATCATTTAATTGTGATTTGAAATGAATTTTTTTTTTTTTTGGTGAAAATTGGTTATTTGAACCCATTGTTCTCTAGAAAAGCAGCTTTGAAAAAGGGTTTTAGGTTCACCATTCTGTAGTTTCAAGATTCCATATGAAGGCAACTGATAAAAAAATTGATAAAATTGATAAAACTATTGAACAAATTAAAAATATTCTCAATCTTTAATTTTTCCTGCAGATTGAAAAAACAGAGCAAGTTTCAAAAATTAACAAAGAGCAAATGCTGCTGAAACAGCATCGGCAAGTGTGGTGGCAAGAACATAAAAGACTGAGTGAGAGCAGGTAAGAGCTGAGGAACCTTAATTAGACACTGTTAAAGAAATACTTCAGTAGACAGATTCTGGTGTGGCCTACTTGATTCAAGGGACATTAAGAGGAAAAGATTAAAATACCTGAACCACGGATAATTTTCTGTTGTTCAGGGCATGAGAGTTTGATCTACATTGGAAGGATCTTTAGACACGACGAGAACACAGAGAGAGAGGAAGGGGTAGTGTGGATGTTGTTCTGCATGTACCTCGCTGGGATGCTCTTTGTTGTGGCATGACAAGTTTTCGGATAACTTTTGGATTCTTCAGAGTCAGTCTCTAGATGCACACATTGAGTTCACAGATGGGGAACATTAACACTGTTCTTGCCTATTAGCTTGTCTGTTGTATGTGCAGCTGATCAATGAGAGCCTTTCTTGCTCAGCGGAGGGTGGCTTCCACACCGCCTCCGTGTTCAAGCCCTGCACTTCATACCTTCCCAGGCAAAGAATCCCCAGTTTTGCTTGCTTATTAGAGTATTTGAAGCTTATTGTTCTTGAAAACTTAATGAATAAGAAATTAAAGCTTCTGTAAAACTCATGTTAATTCCTTCCAGGCAAAAAGCAGAAGCAGAAATAAAGACATTTCTTGATGAAGAAAGCTGTAAGGACAACTTCTTTTTGGATATGAGGGACTTGGGTAAGGACTTTTTTTTTCTAATTTCTTAATTATTTATTATAGTCAAAATTATCTTGATTATTTGAATTTTTTAAAACCCTGTCTTGACTGGTTGAGATGTAGAAATCACAGTGCTGTGTGTAATATTTTGTGTGTTTGAGAAAGCTTTATGTTTCATTTGGATACAGAGCATAAATTATCAAAGGAGCGGGATACGTACCGAAGAGATACTGTAGTTCCTGTCTGGCAACTGAAAGAGAATTTGAAATTCAGGCTGTCTGAGATGCAGCGTTACCTCTCAGAAGAATCTTGTCTGAAATCTAAGATCAATCCAGCTGAAGTGTTACAGCAGGTTGGTATTTTAAATTTATCTTTACCATTTATTATCACCATATTTTTAGCATTTTCATTTATTTTTGTGCAATACTTTGAGAATATAACTCACCTTTAGAGTTCCCAGTAACTGCTGTACTTGGTGCACTGTAAATCTGCTTCACTAAAAGCTGTGAAAACATAGCAGTGTGGAACTGGAAATCAGACCTTTTCTAAACAAGAGCTTTCATGTTACAACAAGATAAAGAAGTAAGAGTAATATATTTCATTAAATAGATCAAATCTTTGAAGAAGCAACAGATGGCAACTTTGGAATTCCTTGTCCTTGGAAGTCTGGCTTTGGAAAGAGAACTTGAAGACTGTAAAACAAAAGTAAGCTTTTCCTTGTAAGTTTAATGAGCAATATTTTTTGAGAGAAAATACAACGCAGAGTAGACTGCTGAATAGCATTTTTTATCACAGGCATTAGCGCATTCTTCTGATGAGATAAATGGACTTTTCCTTGAAGTTCCTTCAGCACTCCTGTCTTTGGAATGCCCCTACCCTGATTTGAAGACCTTAGTTATTGATGAATACCGAAAACTTGCAAGTGGGTACTGGTCTAAGCTCCAGGAGATTGATCAACAGTTAGAAATTGTATCTAGGTAATGACATCTATTTCTGGTTTCTTTTGTTGGATATAAACCAACTAACTGATGTGTTTTGTAATCTAGAGGTGCTGCAGTTGCTATAACCATTAGTTGGTTCTGTTTTATGCAGAGCAGAGGGTAAGAGCCCTGCCCAGCTCTCTGGGGTTCAATAGTGGGTAACTGTTTGCACAGCTGAGAGAATTGAGGCAGTCCTTTCAAAAGCTCTCAACTGAAATAATAAGCAAAATGTTTTGCGGATTAAAGACCCAACAATCTGGTGTGCATCAAATGTCCTCTTCACATGCTTCTGTATGAATAGAAATGATTCAAATTTATGCCAGAAAAGTACAGTCTTCTGAGAGAGATCTAGAATGCATTTGTCTGTAAAGCAGATACATAGGTCAAATAGTCTCACAAATTTTGTATCGCTGCAGTAATTCTCATCACAATGAACTGCAAAAGATCTGTGTAGCTCTGATTCAGAGTAATGGAAGGAGGGGAGATTTTTCTGTAAATGAAAAAGCTTATAGAAAGAACAGAGAGATTCATAATGATCCTGAAGCATAACATACCTACGTATTAACGTAAAGCTTAGCTGTTCTGCTGAGGCCAGCTTGAATCCAGGAGATACTGAGTTGCAGCTATGAGACCAGCCTTGACTCTTTTTTTATGCCATCTACTGATATTCATCTGGCTTAAAATGGCATCAGGCTTTAAAAAGACAGAGTAAGAAGGTCATTGGAATTGTTTGAAGCCTGGGTAGAGCAGGAAAGTCCCTAAGTTTCTTTGGTGAAACAATCACACACTGCTTCTAAATCTCCCTCTTTTTCTACATATACCTACAGTGCAGCACTTAAATCTTCCTCCACTGTGGCTAAACTATCTGGGGGTGCTGAAACAGGTTTGAGATGTTGGATCCCATAGAAAGTGATGTTATAACCTTCTTACCTCTTGTAGAAATTGTACAGATATTCTGTAGTTTCTTCTGCTACCTGAAACCAGTATATTATTACTGTAATGTCCTAGCTTTTATAACATGATACTTATTAAAAATTATTCTGATCTTTCCCATATTTATAGCAGTTTGTAAGCGGCAAGCGGCAAATTTACAGCAGTACCTTTGCTGCTTTCTCTGATGTTTTATTACAGTTGCTCTTGTGGAAGAAGTTTGAATTACCTCTATGAGAAAATCTGTGACAAATACTAAATTAGTGTAATATGTACAAAGTCTTTTTAGTGGTTTTAATTAAAATCATGTTAAAGTTTCTGATCAACACAATTCTGTTGAAAATTCATAAATTTAAATACTTGGATCCACACAGCACGTGTGCTACTGAATAATAGACAAATGTCAATGTAGATGACAGAAACTATGAAAAAGGTTGAAAAAATCCACCCTAGTCTTTTCAATGATTTTATGCCAGGTTTGAATTTGGGTCTTGAGTGAGCTAATTTTACATGGATAACTAAGTAACATCAAGACTTAAAGGTAAAAAACCCTATTTGTAAGGGGAAAAAAAAATCAGTTGTAGGCATGAAGTGATGGTGGTACCTTGAAGGATTTGTTATGATACCTAGGTGGGGAAAAAAGAAATGGATTTAAGTGGAAGAAATGCTGGTTGGGGTGGCAGTGGCAGCAATCTGGTGCTGCGATGTGAGGGTAGGTTTTGCGGGACAGTTTGCCCAGTCTGGATCAGCACATCCCAGTGTTGTTAGCTGGGAGTGTATGAAAGTGTAAATGAACCATCAGCAATAATATTATGCATTTAGTTTAAAGCTAAATCTTGGTGTCTTTTTTTTTGTGTTTGCCTTCTGGTGTACAGATCTTTAGTGCATTGCTCATTTATATTTCGATGATATTATCCACAATGTTAAAAAATGCCTTTTCAATATAAAGAGCAAGACTTTGTTCTTGCAGAATTGCTTACTTCCAAGATCTGAGTTTTATAAAAGACACAAAACTTTGTCACTTCTTACATTTATATTGCCTAATTTGCATGAAAATATTTAATGAGTTTGTAAAGATACAGCCTTGTGATTCAAGTATCTTATAATTCATCAAGCTAACTTTGATCCAGCTAATGTGGATAACACTGTCAAAAATGGAGAGGCAGATTTTTGACCTTGGTATGTATCCAAGATACTCTACTGATGAGTATAGCCTTAATGAAGCCTTTGCAATTATTGTCATTGCTGTATATCTGAAGATAACAAACATCCTCCTGCAATATGGGATTTTTCTCTTTTTTTGTGACTTGAAGTTGCTCGGTAGAACAATGTGATTGTGTGATAACGTGATCACTTGGTCACTTTGTCTGAGGATTACTTCTCTGTCGTTCTTCCTCGTGTCATATGCTTGAATGGATAGTAAAGAAACCTTAAGTTAATAGTCTACTGGCATTAGACATCTAAATATTTAACTGTTCAGATTGTCTAGAACAGAAAATTTGGAAAATGCGTAGAACTGCCAAAGAAAAGTCAGGACATGATAATATTCTGGTCTGCTCTGCTCTTTGTGTGCTTTCAGCCCTACTGGAATGCTCATTGGAGTGTTTGTTGCTTTTAGAAACTGAAGATGAATTTTTTTTTTTTTTCAAGCATAATATAGGATTAAATTGTTTCATAATCTAAGTTCTCTTAGTTTACTGCAGCTAAAACAAATATTTGTTTTGAGGAAATACCCAAGTCCTGAGTTACCCCACAAACTGTGGACTTGGAACTGATGTGTGTGTGTTGCAGCTGATGATTCTCTAAGCGCTATTATATTTTTTTGTCACAGTTTCTAGGGATGTCTGAATTATTTAAATAACTGAAGGATGAATGGAGTATTGTGCATTCAGCACTGTACCCTCTGCAGCATCCCTTCAAATGAATGGGATATTAAGGCTAAGTCAAGTAAATTTAGTTCCTCTTTCAGGCCCCTTCCCAGGATGTCTGGCACAGCCCGCGGCACTGACGCAGTTAATGGCAGGGAGGTTTGCCTTTCACTTGCTGTTGCCACAGCCTGTGTCTGCAGTTCCAGGAGACAGCAGTGGCCCAGGTGTGCCTCACTGCTGTGGAAGGGGCACCTGCCCTTCCAAGGGGTTTGTATTCCAGAGAATGTGTAAATCCAGGGATTACTGCTGGCTAAATCTGCTTCAAAGGGAGCAGCTGCCTCAGGGTTGTTGAATACATGACAATTGCTTATTTCAGTTCTGACACAAAATTAAGATTGTACTGTTTATAGCAGAATGCTACATAGAAGAAAAGCAAGTGCTATGTTTGAATTGTTGTGCGTTCAGCCTTGCAAAAGTTTGTCAATATCCTGACACTGAAGAAACCTGATATTAGCTTAAATATTGATGTAAAATGTGTTGGCACTTTTCAAACTCATTTTATATGAGTTCTCCCTTTTTGGAATTTTACACAAGTTTAAGTGAGGTGACATCTTGAATTCCATCCGGCAGGATATTTTGAAATTCTCCATGCATTTTAGAGCTTATGAATACACTGGGCTGAATCATGCTGCTTGCTTTTTTTTTTTTTTGGCTATCTGTATGGCAGCTGAAAAAATCTCAGCACAGCTGACAAATTTTGGCACAGCTGACAAACCAAGACACTGGCAGTCAGTTTGTCCCTACTTACAATAAAGTACTTGTAGCTCTAGCTAGCTGATTGCTCCCCCTGAATATCTTACACAAAGCACAATTTCTCCATCTGAGGAGTGTACAGAACCCTTGGTAGCTGGCCATTAGAGGAATATACAAGCTGGAGGGAACTGGGAGAGAGATGTGAGACATAGGAAGCAGAAACTGATGCAGGCACTGCTCCATCTGCCTTTGTGTGCTGGAGGCAGAGGAGATCTCCAGACTGCCCTTCAGAGCACAGAACCTGTGGTTTTCCCTGCTCTCAATTCATGGAGCAAAGTTTCCTGACCAAGATGGGCCTTACTAATCTTGTAGACAGAAGACCTGTGTTCACAAACCTGTATGGTCAGAAATGGCTAAGGTGGATTGTTATGAATCTCAGCTCTTAGAACAGTCTCATTACTGTCACCAAAATAACATGTTCAAACAGCACCATACTGAGGGGTATCGAGACTCACAGAAGAGGATTACTGATTTCTTTGAACTTCCTCTTGTAATTTCTGAAAATCCAACCCACAAATACTGTCTTAGGGTGCCTGGTACTCCCTCTGAGTACAAGCTAGCAGGGTTTTATGGTTCTTCCTCTAGTAAACAAAATACTGGGGCTGGGAAGAGAAGAGTGCTAGGTGTTATCTTAAGAAAAAAATACTTTTGTACTCAGTTTGGCATCAGTAGGAGCAGTTGCGCTGGAAGACGTTTAAGCCATGGCAAAGAATACTTAATTTGTGCATTAAAGTTACTCTTTAGAAAGCCTATACCTCAGAATACCAAATTATGACATAGAGATTCTAATAGTAGTAAATGAACTGATTTCATATAAAAGCTTCTTCTAGAGAAAAGAGAGGAGTTGAAAACATTAATTTCTGAGGATCAGTTGCCAGACATCATTCTCAGAGGCAGTAAGTGCTTGTCTTTGGAGAGCTGTGCCTTCTGTTCAAGACCTGCAGCTTGAAGGGTATAAGATGTTACTGCCACTATTCCCCCTTTGAAGGATTCCTTAGCCCCATTTCACTTTCCAGAGCACTATTTCTTCTTTAGATTAACATATGAAAAAACCTTCAGCTCAGACATCTGTATTCGTTGTCTGTCTTAGGAAATTTAAGTAATCACCTATAAAGAAACACTTTCATTGCTCTTCTGCTTTTGCTAATGTAATTTCACTTTTTATGTTTTCTTCAACATTTGCCCTGTAGCTGTCAGTTGCTGCAAATAAACTTTTTACAGGAGCTGGATCTTTACTCTCTTGTTCTGAAGCTACCTATATTTCATTTCATGATGGCTGGATTTAACAGCAAGCAGATGGGTCCTAGAAATAGTTTGTCAGATAGTTCACACAGTTTATAAGAAGAGAAGGGACAATAGGTGGAAAGTATGACTAATATGTATCTATGTCATGTCAGTTTGTAAAGCAAAAGCTGTCGCCTTTCACAGCTTTATTAATTTTAGCCTACTAATGAGAGTCCAAGTCAGGATTATTACTGTAGTACTCCTAGTCCTGCATGTGTACACCATGAGCAGTGAGGAGCTTTTTCTGCATGGGCTGTACTGTAATACATCCCCAGACAGCAAGGGTTGGAAGTCCTGGGCGAGGGGGAGGTCAGTGGGCTGCAAGGTAAGGTGTGACTGAGTGATAGTATTTGGTGTGAATTATGCTGGAACCTTTGTGAACCTTTTCTCTTGCATGGAAAGGTTCTCTCAGCTAGACTATCTTGCACTTCTAGTTCTTCCGTGCGAGGGTGGTGAGACTCTGCAATAATTGCCCAGAGAGGCTGTGGATGCCCCCTTCCTGGAGGTGTTCAAGGCCAGGTTGGATGAGGCCTATTTATTCAAAGGAAAACAAAATACAGACTAAGTACACATAAAGTGCAAAAAAACTAGGTGTTAGTTACACAGGAATAGTAATTGTGGTGTTTCCTCATATTTGGTTGTCAGTAAGTTGCCACTGTTCTGATCCTGGGATAATGATTCTGTGCTGAAAATGTTCTAGTAAGCTAAGAATCATTTTTGTTTCATGACAGTCAGAGGATGAAGAATTGAAGTGAGGAGGAAAGAAGGATCTCTGATCAGTAGCTGCCTCTAGAAAGATGGGCGAAGGTTAAATCCCTGTTACGACCATAATGGAAAAAATAAAGCCCGTTAGTCTCCCTGAAGAAAACTGTAAAATAGCTGCCTTTAGATAGGTGAAGATAAGAGGACCTGTGTCCAAATCTGTGCCAACTTCGTGGCAAAACATGCACGAGCAGAAAGTGCCAGGGGAGAGAAAAGAGGTGAAATGCGTGTCACTGAGGGATGTGATTCCCTCTCCCGACAGGATATTACCTTGAGAACGGTGTGTTGAAATGGGATGTTGTGTCTGTGCTATTGAGGTATGTCTGTAGGCAAAGCTTCCCTTTTCTTAAAGCAAAGATCTGGGGATATTTCCTTGTTTCCTCCCTCAGTGTCCCAGAATATTGTACAATGGTGATAATACGCTGTGGTTTTACTCTGCAATACCTTTTTAAAGAAAAGTTGTTAAACTGGTTTATGTGGAATTTTTTTTTTTTGTATGTGTGTTCATTGTTCTCTCTTTAGCAATAATTCTAGATCATATAACAGAATCTAATTTAGTATTAATTACATACAGGCATCTCCCCAAAACCCCTTTAGGAAGCAGCCGGTGTTCCTGGCTGCGTCCGGAGGCGGCGGTTCCTGCGGTCACTGCAGCGCTAGGCCCAGGGGTCCCAGAGCTGCAGACAGCTGGAGGCTGCAGGAGTCTGGGGGGCAGGCAGAGTCGCATGATTGCCTTCTGGTAATTTTCCCCAGGCTTTTAGTCACTTTTGAAAACAGGTCACTGGGATAGAGAGACCTTTTGGTGTGACTCAGTGTTGCTGCTCGTACGCTCGTGCTGACAATGGAAGCCTGGCGTTAATCCCTTCAAGGCTGAGAGTTCAGACTGAGGGTGAAATCTAATCTACTAAATCCCAACCTGTGGTACCCTGTTTTATTTTTATGTTGCTTCTTGCTACTCTTACTTTGTGAAACGTATTAATGCATACTGATTGCTACATCTCCTGTTGTAAAAAAACCTGTGAATTTAATGCCTTTCTGATGAGTTTGTGGCTGTGAGAAGTTGGTTTTAAAATAATTTTTTTTCCTCATTGAGATACAGATAGGTACTATCACTTAATTTCATTTTGATAATTTATTCAGTGCTTACTGGTAGAGACTGATTATCTTCTTCCTTTTTCACATTGTGTTTCCTTGTGGTGTGACTATTCATTAATGTGATGTATTTGAGAAACATGGTATCTCTCACCAGTAAAAAGCCAAGCTAGAAAAGGAACAATTCACTTGAATGATGAGACAATAAATGGTCACATTAGAAAAGCTATATAGGTATGCTTTGTTTCACTAAAGTAAATATAAATTTCTCAGCTCTCATCCAACATCCAGTTTACAGGTTTGCAAGCCCACTGGAAGTGTAGGCCTTTAAATATAAGGTAGAACCAAACTCCTCATTTTCAAATGTTAAATTATACTGGGGCTGATTGTTTTGTGTTTCTGTAGGAACATTGACTGGAAGGAGGAAGATCAGTGGGTTTTTCAGACTGTTGTCAATCAGTATCCAAGTGACCTTCAGAGGAGGAGGACCCTGTACCTCGATGTGCTGCAGAGATACCTTCCTCACAAATCTAGGCGTGACCTGGTCAGTGTTGTTTTAAATACTAGATCAAGTGTATAAATTATTACATAAATCATGTAATGAACATTTATATCAAAGAATGTTTATCAAGGTTTTTATGTTAAAATTTATTTTAAAATCTCTTATGTATAAATTTTATTCTTGCACTTTGAAGAAGGGCTGTCCCTGTCTCCAAAATGCCTGAACTTTGAAAACCAGTCACTTCCTCAGAATAAGCACTGTGGAGATTTTATAGTTCCATATCCTCTTCCAGCCAAATTCACAAAGTTAATTTGTTATCATTGCTTTTGCTGTACAGCTTTACGGTTATGTCATGCTATTCTCCTTCTCCTGGCATTTTTGGTTTTTATGAGGATCTATAGCATTTGTCACGCTGTCTAGGAACGGTTATTTTAATTGGTCTGTGCCACATATATAGCAGGAAGAGTGGAAAGTTATCTCCTGCTCTTGGGAAGAGGCTATTTTTGTACGTGTAATGCCTTTCAAATTGATTGCTGATTCCTTTTACACTTCACAGTGAATCAGCATATAGCAGCTAATAGAGGAACCCATTTCAAGGCCAGAACACTTCAGGATGTCATAAGTAAAGCAGGAGTCTTTATTTTATCTCTGCATATATTTTTAGACCGTCTATTTCCTTGTGTTTTGAGGAGTGCCTAGTGCAAAGGAGTGAGGGTGAAATGATCTGGTAGTTAGCTTAGTTTCACCAGCAATAAAGTTCTTTTGGATTTCAGAACTTTCGCCTGTGAGAGCTGGGCTACTTAATTACCTGCTCTGTACCATGTAGGTATATTTTTAAGCATAGCTATTATTCATGTGTCTCCCTAATTCATTGAAGGTTCATTTTAAAATTTAAAAAATCTAAATTAAATCATAATTCTGACATCTCTTGGTATGAATATTGGCATGACAAATACAGAAATGTTAATACTAAGAATCTTTCCTTAAAACGTACATGTTACGCTAGAGTACTAAACTTTGAGCCTCCTGTGCCTTCTTCCCCCTGAAGAAGAATGGATTGGTGGGCAGGCACCAAGTGCAGCTCATCAGGGAGGTCTCTTTTTCAAGTGCAAACTCTCCACCCCATTTCGTTTTTGTGTCTTAGCTTTAGCTGCTTGCTAGCACAGCTCACCTGAGTTTGTGGCATCAGCAATGTCAGTGTCAACTTCTGATGTGGTGGTCTGCATCCATTTGACCCAAGACAAGCTCCAGAAGCAATGGTGCCCCTTTATCTTCATCCAGCTATAAGCTGATAGGAATATCTGAGAGCTAGATGCTGGAGAAGTCTGCATCCCCCTACCAAATGCCTGGAAATTTGGGAGTTAGCATCAGGAGTGATCCATTTGACACTTGTGAGCAGCCAGACATCTTTAGAATCCTCCTTCATCCCTGTAGTGTGTATTTTTAGAGATACAATATGGGTCCAAGCCTCAGTCGTTGCAGCCTTTCCTGTTACTGCTTCTGTCAAAGTCTTAGAGCTTGAATATCCTCAGGAACCTCACCGAGCAAGGCCAAAGATGTATTTAAGGTTAGACACTCACCACATTAGTTAGGTGGTGACCTTGATGGTGGTGGCATGCTGCTGGGCAAGCTAAAAATCTATCTCCAAATTTCCTGTTAGGAAAGAAAAAGTGAAGGTAATACTCATCTGTAGGGCATTTGTACAACTGTTTTAGTTGGTGTTATGTTTCTCTGTACTTTGCTACAAAAAGCCTCATCTTGCTAGAAGCACTCAATACCTCTGAAGATGTATTGATGGGACCTACTTGTGTTTGCTGTCCTGTAGGGCAGGGAGGAACCACTGCATTTCATTTATTCATATTGCAGAAGCGTGGTTCAGAACGGAAGGGGAGGGCACCTGGCTGCTCAGGTGCCACGTGGCACAGGCAGACAGGGCAAGGCTGGGCTGCTGTCACCACCTGCCAGCGCTGGCAGCCAGCAGTGTACTTGGCACCTGACACACAGCTTCTGGGCCCTAAATTGTGGATCCCATAGCAATACTGGGGATATAATAACCAACTCAAATTGCATTCAAGGCTTGCAAAAATGTCTAGAATTATTTTGTTTTATAAATACGTATTTTTTAAGCCTTTCTGAAATGCTTTGCTTTTGAGGTTGTCCATGAGAAGGCGTGGGATCGTTGCCATTCCTTGAGGAACCAGCACAGGGCCTTGCTGTGGGGCTGGGCTCAGGCCAGGAAAGCCTTTCTGCTGAGGGCAGCGGCGACTGCCGCCGAAGCCTCTGCTGCTCACCAGTCAGCAGCACTGTTGGCTCACACCAGGCGAAACCAACAGGAGATCTGTGCTGAGCTGAAAGCAAAGGTGGGTTCAGTTGTAGATCTGCTACCTCCAAATCTGAGTTTTACTGGTAAATCAAAGTGAAGTTAGTGTTTAAGTGAAGATAAACTTACTGAAGCTAATTGTCATAATCCTGTTTTCCCTGTCCTGATCAAATTATTTGGAGCTGTTGGTGGGCAGGAAGCAAACTGAAATCTCCTGGCAGAGGTCAGTATGTTTGTGAAGCTTGACTTGCAAATGGTTTTAAAGATGCTGTTTCATTACCAATACAGATCCTTCTTAGTGTTTCAGCCACCTCTTGAACTTAGTTTGTCTTTTTTTCTATTAAAATTTGATTAACTAGCTTAGCACACTTTAGGCCATACTATAAGCTTCATGGTGTGGGTGTAATCTCTGTATAATCTGCAATCACATTTATTTTGATGGATTTTGAGCACCATCAAAGAGTTTGAACTGTATTTCAGTTTTGGAAGAACAAGGTTTTTTTCTGCAGTTCACGATGAGGGACTGTAAGCAAGCTCCAGGAGTAAAGGTCTGGCCTCGTGTTCCTTGGGCTCCTTTGTGACATGGGCAAATTGCGGAATGTTTGTTTGTTGCTTCCTCCCCAAAGTGGGATTGGTATCTATACTGGCTGAGGCTTAGCTCATTATTGCTTTTGACACTGGAATCCTCAGAGGTGGACACAGAACATTCTGTTCATCATCACTACCACCAGTTTCTTAGATAATGCTAGTCTGTTTTCAGAGAAATATCTGTCATTCTTTCTGTTTATTTTTAAGAATGCTTTCTAAGACCTCAAAAAATGGATCCCATAATTTGTTTGCCCTTGTTATGGAGGTTCCATGATGATCTGCAAGGTGATTTAGTGTTAAGAGGTAAAAGAATATATATAAATACCTGTTGGGTTGTTTTTTTTGGTGTGTGTTGTTTTGGTTTTTTTTTTTTTTTGTAAGAGAATAAAAGGGGAGTAGCCCTGGACACAAGAGGAAAGTGTTGTCATGTTGGTGCCTAAGGCCTTTGTAAGGGGATTCACATTTCTAGGCATGAAATTCAAGTTAAGATTTGTTTAAACTGCTCTTTGTGGTTTTTCCACTTGCACAGAAGCAAACACCTGAACACATACACAGTGTATTGCTCGCACTTCACCGACATTATCTCTGTTGAACCCTTACTTTTCAGCCAGATGCTAAACACCTGATTTTGGTTTTCTGCAGGTAGAAAACCACTGTAAAACCTGTGTGGTGATTAAGATCTTTGCTGTTAGTTCTTCACTATAGTAATAATACAAAAAGCCTTCTGTCTCCTGTTCCTGGAGCCGTCGCTCGTAGGAGGGTTTGCATCTGAACACGTTGGGGTTAGAAGCTGTCTGGGCTTGACTGGCTGAGGAGCATCCTGCTCTGTCTCCTGTGGCAGGCTGCCCTGGAGCCAAGTGGAGTACAGAGCTGCTCTCCAGGGTTGGCGGGGGGGCTGGGGCTTCTTTTCTCATCTTTTACCTAGGGCTCCCTTTCTGGGAGTGCTGTGTGTCTCGTACCTGCACAATTAGAGGTAGAAGACACATTTATTCCAAAACTGTGAGTCAGTCTTACTTTTTGTGGGGAATTTAAAAAAAAGAAAATAATCAGGCAAGTGTTGGAGTACTGACGTTGTCTCCATGTAGCTTAAGATTCTCACTGATGCTTTGAACATTGTCTGAAAGTTTTTTGGATTCTGACCTCCTCTTTCCAGTGACCTGGAACTGTTTGAAACTTAAACCCATTAGGCCTACACTTTCCAGTGGCTGCTCTCAAAGGTGGCTTTGTTAAAATGTTGAAAGTTTGAACAAAAACAATTCACCTGTTTCCCAGAAAAGAGGAATGAAAAGGGTACCTTTTTTTTTCATTAAAGGAGGGTATCATTGTGACCTTGGTTTGATCAGCTCTGCAGCTGAAAGGGCTGGAGGATGGAAGCTGAAATTGGGCAAGGAGCTAGCTGCTTTACAAAGGAATTATTCTGAATGTATCCGTGGGTTTTGTTTGGATTCAATGCATTTGAAAACTCATATTTTACCCAATTATAGTTAATTTTACAGACTTTCTACGCTTCTGAAGTGTGCAACCACAGGAGAGCAGCTGTTGGCAGCTATCAAGTAAAAAGTAACTCAGTCTAATGAGTTAATTTTACACTGATAAAGCCCACCCTGACAAGGACCCACAAGATAGGGTAAAAAGTGAGTGTCTCTCCAAGGGAATGAGTGTAAAGCTGGAAATCAGGGATTAGGGCTGTTATCTCTGTTTTTTTTTTTTTTCCCAGTAACTCACTTATTTTTTTTGCATTTCAGTAAGTTTAGCATAAGGAAATCTCACTTGTCTCATTTTGCCAGAGGGGATTTGTGCTTGCTGTGGTGGTGTAGCTGTGTGGTAAACTCTAGGTGTGCTGGTGGAGCGTGTGGGGGGGACACAGATCTCCTTCCTTACACTGGAGCATGGCATTTCTGTGCCTGTCTGCCAGCTGTGAAGTGATGACACACACTGTAGGATATGTAAGCAGTTCTGGAAATGCAAAGAATCATTAGATCCATTTTGCAGAGCTAATGACAGACAGAATATGCCAAAATAAATTACAATCAAAATGGATTGTTTAAGCAGCTGTTAATAATAGAGTGGGAGAAGGCCAGACTCTGAATATGACACCTTTCATTTAACTTCCAGTCAGTAAACCATTTAGCCTGGGTTACTTATTGGCTTTAAGCAGGCTTCTTTGAGTGTTTGGGGTTTTTCAAAACAATTTTTATTTCTGTGTGTGAAAATCAATTTGTTGCTAATCATTGTACAGATTAAGCTGTGCAAAAAAGAAAGTAGTCATATGTGACAGGCTATGCCTTTTGTTTTTTTAATATTGTAATAATCATGTCACCTAATTTTTTAATATAGTTCTTTTCATCTATCAATAACAAACCAAAAGCACAGCCAACTGATTAAAGAATGCATTATTAAAGCTGGTTAAAAAGCACTAGAAGCAACTATGCCATCAGTGAGACTCCAGGCTTTGTGACTGACAAGGTGAAAACAATAAAGTAAAGCAGCAGAGAAGTTAAATGAATGTTTATAGTAGTTTTTACCTGGGGAAAGGACTTTCAAATTCTCATTCCATGTTCCATCTCGCAGATCAAATTTCCTTAGCAGAAATCAGTGTCTCTAAGGAGGAGTTGTTTCAAAACTCAAGAAGCTCAGGTGGAATAACTCATGAAAGCCATGTGGTAGTCATTTGAGTGAAATAATGTGTGAAATGGGTAATACCAGTGAGGAAATACTGGACATTCTTAAAGAGGAAATGCTTCTGGTACAGGTCTTTAACACCCCTGTTTGCCCTAGGAAGACAGACAAAGCAGACCACGAGGGGTGTGAGACTTTGAGTGATCGAGTCACTGTGTTTGGTGTGCTTTGTGCTGGCTGGATATGGAGGCAGATTTGGGGAGGAGCAGGAGCACACACAGAGCCACACGCTGCAGGGGAGTGGACAAGTGGCAGTTTGTTAAACCGTGGTGACTCCTCTCTGCGAGTTTCTTTTCATTTCTCTGAGGATGCCATCACAACTGGAAGCTTAATCTTATGTACTGGGCATGAATTGCAGGGGCTTAGTAACAGGGGGCTGCAGGGGTACCCAGCATGGGGGAAACCATTGACTGACTTGTCAGCTCTGAGATGCATTTAAACAACCCATTGCACCCCAAAACTTCAACTAGAGGAGCACATAGTGCTGCTGCCTGAGATGTATCTTGCTCATTTACCTGGCTGCTAGGTTATCAAAGCTTGCAGGATCTTAAGTATGTTTGAGGCACATGCTTATCTGTCAAATTTACTGGAAATTGTTGAGTGATCCCCAAAATTACTTGAGGATGGATAGCTAGACAAGCAGACGGCTCACGCTAACCTTGTTTTCTTAGAATTATCTTCTTCCTTCAGCTAGGAAAGTAGCACCTCAGGCAGACAAAATAATTTGCATTAAAATTTTACCAGAGTAGTGAAGGATCAAAGGAGCTTTTCATATTACTGCAGAAGGGACTAGCAGAGATGGCTAAATTTGCTGTCCTTTTATATACAGTACTAAGTAATTGTAAATAGCAATGTAGCTTACTTAAGGTTATGCATGTGTGAATATTTAAGCCTATGTAATATTTAAACACGTTAATAAAATGTTGACACTCCCGCTGTCAAGAACAGATGATGTTCTGAATAATGCTGACTGAGGAGAGAGAGAGAGAAGATACAAGGACAAGCTGTGAGAAGTAGACTGTTCATACACTGACTGAGCAAAGTTTTTGTGATGTAGTTTCAGCTCCAGGGAACTCAAGCCATGAGTTACCTGCAGGTCCAGTGTTTCCTAAATTTCATGCTTTCGTGCATGCCCAGAGCACCCACAGAGAGCGTATCCAGCCGTTGCTTCCTGGGAGTGCTGGGGCTGCTGTGCAGCTGCTGTGGGGACTCACATGGTAGTCTGGGGAGAGCTGTAGCAATTCTGTCCTGGGGATGCAAATGCTTTACAACATGCAGTTGTTTCCTCCTTCCTTGTCTGTAGTGGAAAGTCTTCAAAGTCTGAATAGTTAAAGCAGGGTTTGTAGTAAGAAATTGTGAGTGAATGCAAGTTAGTTTGAAAACACTTTTTTTAAAAAAAAGATATGCCCTACTTTTTAGCAGTCGTTGAACAGGTATTTCTGTATAATTAGTGACTTAAAGAAATTGTTTGTGTTGCAACAGACTTCTATTGTCCTGTTCCATTTATGAACTATTTAAGTCTAAGGGATTGATTATCCCATTAACCCAAGTGGAATTTATGTGCTTAACTTCTGTTAACCTTAATAGAATTTATCTGGGTGAGTCCTTGTTCTTCTGTGGGAGACTAGGTCTTTAATTTTTTATTTTCCTCTACTTTCCCTTCACCCTGTTCTTCAAAATCTTTCCTTTTTTTCCTAACTTAGAATGGAAGGGAGTTGCTCAGGCAAGAGACATAGATCAGCATGCACTACTTTATCTGAAGTATTAATGACT